TCATGCGCTGGATTTGCGGTTTCGGGGTCTCGGGAATTGGCTTTGACAGCTTTTTGATCACATGTCACACATTCGCAGCTCGCGTGCCTCATGTCAAACTGACAGAACAGGAGCAAGCGCAAACAAGGGCAAACAAGGGCAGCTGTCGTCTCGACAGACCTGAGGCCTATGGGTCGTGGCTTGCAGTTCTGAACAGTCATTAGGCCACCAGGTCTGCAAAATGCCTGTTTCAGATACTTTCAAATCTCAACCCCATCTTGTACAATTGCTAGCGACTACTAGTGTGCCGGACCCGACCTTGGCTTTGCCAAGGACTTGGTCTAAGCGTTAAATGCATACTTGGGGTGCATGTTCTCATCATTGAAGATCAGCTTTCGCACCTCCTGGATGCGCTTCACTCTGGCTTCGCTGCTTCCTAGACGTCCGGGCGGCTGGGGACGCGACCCCTTCTTGAGGGGGACATGAGCTCATTCACCTTGCTGATGTAGGGCCGCTCCGTCGTCTTGGCCCACTCGTAGTTGACCTTGAAGACCGCCACGTGTGTCTGGTGAACGACGTGCATGCCCCAGGCGGAGAGCAGGAAGAGACTCAGGATGAGAAAGGCCAGGAGCCGAGAGTTGAAGTGCGACATCTTGGGGAAGTCCTTGGGATCATCAACGTCGAAGCTCATGGCACATCGGATTCCTGTGGAGAACAAGTAGAGTGCGAGGCCATTCAGCAAGCACTTCACGGCAATGTGACGCCAGGACACGATGTTCCGATTCAAGTAGTAGCTGGTGGCAATCTCGAAGCCCGTGGGTCCTGCTGTTTCCAGGCGATATGTGTGGTATGTCTGTGCCATGCCGACGTAGACGGCAAAGACGTTCAGGATCAACACAAAGCTCATCAGCAAGAAGCTTATGACTCGCATCCAGCCTTCGAAGGTGACAAAGTTGAACTCTTTCTTCATTTCAATGATGTGGCTGGCAGCATTCACCATGAGACTCGACACCACGCTGAGCTGGGCGAAGGCAGACAGCCTCTTATTCAGGATGTTGCCTTGAAAGAACCGCGGGTCGTTTTGCAGGTCCATCGACTCAGACTGGATCACGCCGAAGGTGTTCTCCAAGACCCCTAGGGTGCATGGAAGTTCCAGCAACTGCTTGTGCTCATCGGCTGACATCCCGGCAGCAGTTCAACAACTTCCCTACAGGACCGGTGATATGCTCTGCTCAGAGCCAAAACCTCTGCCACATTTGATGCGATGTCGCATGTCTGCGGCGCTCTTGTTCCTTCCCTCTCATGTTGGACGGCAGCGGAAGCTGGCAACACTGCGATGTTGGCACAGCTTTGATGTACAAAGAGGATGGTAGACATCGGCGACATGCAGAAAACACGAAGGACAGTAACAAGACATAGCACATCATAGAACACAAAGCATCGACAATGATTTTTGTACCGTGAGGGCTTGACAGGTGTCGGAGCATTTCCCGCAAGGGGGAGCAAAGGCCGAGTCACCTTGAGAAGCCCATCCGGAGATGTACTCACCATGATGTTCCTGGGATGCTTGCAAGTGAGCCTTGAGTTAAGCTTTATATCGGGGGTGTCTGTCAGCGCAGGTCCTCACACAAGCAAGGACGATCGAGGTCTAGATGCCTCGGAATCTCGGCTGCAAAGGGGCCTGGCCCCTCATGACGCTCACATAGAAGGTAGTAACCTTTACTAGCGCAAGACAGGTGATAACGCGCGTCTACTTTGAGCCAAGCGCGCTTGGATCCTCTAACCATGCTGACAAAAGCCTCCAGGCTAAGGACACTCCTACGATCCTGGGTAATAAAACACGCAGAGCCTCCAAACCCAAGCCGCTCCCGGAACCAACGGTCAGGAGACCCCGCTCGAAAGTGTCCAACCTACACCCTATCGGCCCTAATCCGCGACTGTGTTCTCTAAGCCCTGAATCCGGACCCTCAAAGACCTAAACTCCGGTATCCTACTCCCTGCTGTACCTCGCAGAAAAGCATCTGGGGCTTTAGGTCGAGATGAATCTGCAGAAGACCCTTCGCCTCAGTCGTTGCCCAGCACAGGGGGGTGTTTCGGGCTTAGGGTCCTTAGAGTTTCAGCATTGACAACTAGGTTGGGCTTAGCCTTGGGAACTCCAGAAAAGAACTTTTTCCACCTTGCCCCCGTTCGTCCGACGTTTAATCCTCACGAGCTGTCGTGGGTGTGTCGTTGATTGGTCAAACAAGCAAGGGAAAGCAACTGTTATAGGCCAGAAATCATCCGGCATCATCATGTCGGTGATGATGGACAGAAGCTGATCTAAGACGTCCAGGGCCTGGGAGATGTGGAGAATACCTGGACCCAATCTCGGGAGAGCTTGCGAGACGATTCGGAAACTGTTCGCCCCCTGCTGCAGCCAAGATTCCACGAGGATGGTGGAAGCGATACGCAGCATCGCCCAGTGTGATTCCCGGCGCACGCTCAAACCTTCACAAATCTTCAAGACTCATAGACCCCATCGAGACACGTTGACGTGTCGACTTTCATTAGCTTTTCATCCCACGGGCACACAGCGAAGAAGTGATCGGCGCAATCAGCTGCGCTGCTGGTGCTGCCGATGCCCAGGCAGTCGACGTAGTGGCTGGGATCTCGTGCCTTCACTGCGCACAGAGGCCCGGAAAGCGAGAACCCTGATGCGAAAAACGAACACTATGGTTGAATGGCGTCTGAGAGCTATGTTGCTGCATAGCGAAGCAAACACAAGAGCAACAACCAGAACAACAGCAACAGCCGAATGCAAGCGTCATGCAGACACAAGAACCTTTACAATCTTAACGTAACAACGCAACATAAGAACAGGAAGGAGTTTCAGGCTAATCTCGGGCTTCTGAGACGGCATCGCAGCCGATCTCGAGATCCGCCTTCATGCACCGCGCGAAAGAAGACTCCTTAACCACCTCCATCCAATTGTTCCGCCGGAATATCTTCACCACCTTGTCGAATTGGGGTTTCGAGTTTGGGTAGGATGCTTCCTCTCTGCTCCCATACAGGTCTAGGCTTCAAGAGTTGAACACCAAGCTGGAGGGTGAAGGACACTGCTAATCAGCAGCCCTCCCGCCAACCTTGTCCGGCATGCCAACAACAGGATAGACTTGACCATAAGCTCCTGTTTCAGGTTGCTCTTTGCATTTCTGCACAAGTGACATTGGCATGTATACGGTAGTTCTACATACTGGCTAATTACTTGTGGTGGAGGTACTATTGAATACTATTGTTGCCGCCACTAACTGTTAGCAACCTCTACCATCATCAGCAGCATCACCCGCAGCATCACTGGCAGCATCGGCAACGCCAGCACCACCGACGTGTGCCTTAGCATCATTTCCATCATCATCGTCACGGTCATCACCACTGAACTTGAGCATCGGCATCTTCATCGCCACCCTCCGTGGCAGAATCATGCCTGTCCTCGGCGGAAGCTTCTCTACTGCGCGAAGTAATTAGAGTTTGATTGCTGATGTCGTTGCTGCTGAAACTCTTGGTGTTGCTGAGCTATCCCTGCCGCATGCACAGCAATCGCACTCTCGCAACTATACAAGGCCGGTCCATGTGCAAACTGAGCGAGCTCGGAGACTGCAGCAACAAAGTCTCCATCGTGGAGTAAGACAGGGCACACATAGCACAACTAGTGTCACAGTCATGGTGTCAGGTCCCGTCCCGGGGTAGAGGTGGTGCCGTTCCCAGTCCTGCCTTACGAATATTGACCTTTGTACGAGTAGAATCCTAACGCTCATACTCTTCGGGCACTGCTCGCCTACTACCGTGAGTTTCATGCACCAGGCCTGATGCCTCTTCAACATAATCTAGGTGCTGGAATGACGCCTGGACATCAGTACACCAGCCCTTGCAACCCCAATCCTGCTCCGAGCTTCTTTTCGAAGTCGGGCCTTGGAATGGGATACAGCACGTCGTGCATGCACGAGCATCCGTAGACAGGGAGAGAAGAAGAGAGGCATAATGCGACAAAGAGAGAGAGAGAGAGAGAGAGATAGAGAGAGAGAGAGAGAGAGAGAGAGAGCGAGAGAGAGCGAGAGAGCGACAGCGAGATGAAACATAATACACGTACACACTGCAGTATACATATATATATATATATATGTATATATACATATACATATTTTTCTAGATATAGGTATAGATAGAGTGCGTGTGTATACGTACACGCCCCTTTTTTTGTCACTCGCACTCGAACAAGTTAGGCGAGCTCTCTGAAGCATCAGCACTGTACTGTTGACCTCCATAGCACATTGGCAGGTGTTACACATTATCTTATTCGACGAACACATACAAAGCATGCATAGATACGTCATTTTCCGAAATCATGTTGCTAACGCGTGCCTTGTCGCAGCATAGTCTTAATTATTCTCTCCATGTTTCGAAGATCTCTGATGTGCATAAGTTGGACCCAATGTAGCGAGACAAGATTCAAATACCTGTCGAAGCTGACTGTCGAGATGTCTGCTGCCTCACTGTCGCCCAGGCGCAGCTTGCCTTGGGCAAAGCGATTCAAGAGCCACGCAAAGCTCGGCGACACTCTTTCGTGCTACGCCATGTCATAGCGACTGAAGCCTGTGTAGATCGAGCGCAGAAGAATGGGCAGACTCTCGTGGTTCTCCGCGCTGGACGTCTTTTCAGCCTCAATTGAGCCAAACGTCAGCATGTCGACAGCCTGGTAAAAGGAACTCAAACCTTCTCCACCGGATTTCAATCAACAAGCTTAGTGGTCGTACTGTCAGAGTTCTCCTCTCTTGCCGTTGCTTGTCTGGTTGGAGACGAGCGGCGCACCACTGCGAGCATCCCCTGTCCGCGAGCCCGGCGATGCCAAGCGTCATCTGGGCAGTTCCATGGCATTCGAGCCAAGCTGATGGCGAGCAGCCCCTGATGATGGCAGCCCTTATTTCCTGTTTGGCACAAGAACATGTGCTTTCCCGATTTCTATAAAGAGCATCCCCGCTGCGCACCTGTGCCCAGCACCCCTTGCAGCTCTCGTGGGGACGGCCGCACGGAGGAGACGGGGGTCAGCTCTCGCCCCTGCCATGGAGAAGTCACCGCCGCCCGAGTACCCGAACCCGCTTCGGGTCTGAAGTTTCGGGAGCTTTGGGCCTGGAGCCCTCTTTTCTTTGTTCCTTCTCAAGGGATTCCTTTGGGCCGGATCAAGGCAAGCGTCCACCAGTCGCTGGCCTGGTCAAGTCGTCCTAAACCAGAGAAAGCCAAGTCGCTTGAACTGGGTTCTTGTTACTGTTAAGGGCTTTTACTTGCATTACCAGAATAAGGAATCACATTATTTACTATAGATCCTTAGCAATCATCATAATAGGGATCTACCGAATCTATCATAAATAAAATGGTTTCCCCGTTCTGGTAACTTAATTCCCCAACAAGAACCCAGTGAAAGGAATGCGGCGCTTTGAGGGGAGGTCGGGGCTCGTGGCGAAGCTTCCATGAGTCGACAGTCGGCTCCATAGCTGCAGGTCATGTAGGGGCCTTATTGATGAGAATAGGGGATCCTTTAAAGGGTTCTAGAAGGGCTCTATAATGAGTTGTATGTAGGCATGCAGCATGAAGGCGCCCTAATCATCATAGAATAGGGTTTGGGGCTGAGTCATACGGTACTTACATTCAGGCTCCGCGGTTATATTGGTAATTATTCAAGCCACTATACTAGAGTCGCATCGTATAGACTCCCTTCTGTAATCCCTAAACTGAACTGACTTTCTCAGTCTCACGCCTCGAGCCTCCAACAGGGATTCCCCAAAGCCCTCTGAGACCTGAGACCCGAGAGCAGATAAACTCAAAATGGTAAGCTGCAACACCCCAACTCTAAGCCCCAAGCTCCATAATCTATGTAATTCTAAACTTTAAACACCAATCCATGAACTCCAGCATAAAAGCCCTTTTTACACGGACTTGGTTAGAGCTCGTCAGGCCAGAATCCCTGCAGCACATCGCGCCCTTTCTTACACCTGGACTATGCATATGCCAGGAACCGAGGCACCGACTGTGCTGCAAATAGCACCCTAAACTCTAAACCCTATTAAGAACCCTGATCCCAAACCCTTAGGGCTGAGTGCCCTAGCCCCAAACAAAGTTAACAATTGAATTATGGTAGGGTCATATGACCCCCAAAAGGTGAAAGTTTCTTACCTCTGCAGCTACTAAGAACCTGAACTTCCAGCCCCTCCCGACCTCAGACTCCTTGGTGCACCACTTGCCTTTGCCGGCTGGCTTGCCTGAGTCTTTTGCCTCCTACTTCGCAAGGACAAGCCCGCTTGCAGTCTTGAGCTTACGGGTTTCAGCGCTCACTCTCGGACAATCCAGGCGAGGCATGTGGTTCAAGGTCCGATGAGTGAGACTGCAAACATGCTGGGCGCAGGTTTTGTGTACGGGTTTAAGGGGGTTCTTCTTCGACGACCCTTTTCCGTCTCGCAAGATTGTCGCTGTGGGTTTAGGCTTTAACATCGGGACCTTCACAAGTAGACTAGGGCTCCAGGGTAGATCACGCCAAAGTTCCACTAGGAACTCGAAGCTATAGTATTGTTGATTTCCCAGGTCGTTCAGGCCGCCAGAGTACCGTAACCTCGGGAGATCATTGGCCCATGAAGCCTCTGTAGCCTTTCTGGATGCTCCTCAAACTCTAGAGGTTTCAGCACTCACACTCGGACTTGCCTGGCGAGGTGTAGCGGCTTCGTCTCTCCCTCTCGCACAGGCACGCAAGGCACCACACACGAGGTTTGGGGTTTAGGACGCAAAGGGTGCCATCATGATTTCAGGTGCGTTTGTCGGCTCCGGGTACGGGCACTGGGCTCAAGCCCTGTAAGTCCCGTAAACCATCACGCCTGGAGAATTTGAGATTCGTGCCGTACTGCCACTGTCCCTCGTAGGACAATCCTTGGTATCCACTCAACTCTGCCCAACCCCTTAAACAACATCCTCACTGCAGGGTTGCTTGCTTTTCATTGCCGAGCGATTTGTTTTTACATCACTGGCTTGCTTTTGCCCTTGCCTTGGCGAAGGGCTTTAGTTCCATCAGCCCCATCCCAAAATGCCCCAAACAATTTAAACAATGATGTTAAAGGGTAGAATTCCGGATCGGCATTCGTAAATCAGGATTGTGGTGTGGATTGGTTGCTTTCAAGTCAACTCACTGAGTTCCCTCATTACCGTCGGAGCAGATTGGCATCCGGGTCGCGGCTTCATTGAACAAGAGTGAAGCTTCTTTCCGACATTGTGCCAAGGTCTTCCATATTGATCATGTTGCCCTGACCCTAAGCCCCAAAAACATCGGATGCCAACCGTATGCCTCCGTCTGAGGCTCCCCAGAAAGGCAAATGACTCGTAGTTACTGGAACATGCCAAAATACTTATTGCAAGCAACAAGCTGGAACACGTATGTGTCTATGATCGACCTTGTAGCTGCACAGAAGCTAGGAGCTTCGTTGTGGGGATTTTCGGGATGCGGCAGATGGATGCCTAGACAACAGGACAGACATCATCTTGTCTTGCGCTTCTGCTTCTGCCGCGTAGCCATCTGCATAAACAATGGACCCGAAGCCGTGAGGCTTTGCTGCACGGAACCTCAGGCGGGGAAGTTGCAAGACTCCTCACATAGGGTGCAAATACTTGAGGGTTCATTTGTAGCTAATGGTAGCTATCAGTGGAGTCATATAAGTCCCCTAAGACGGGTTGTAATTTCAGTTACGCCACTTATGAGCCTAATTATAACTACCCATGAACCTCCAAGTACTAGACTCCTAGAGGCAGCCTCTGAGCTATGAACTGGCCTTTGTACTTCTTGCGGTCATCCTGGCATGGCCAAGCAAAGCACGAGAGAACCGTGGACAAATTTCAGCCGACGAGCAGCGGAAGACAACCAGAGATGCTCAAAGCAATGAAAGCACATGATGCAGCCATAAGGCGTACGACCAACCAAGCTTTGAAAATGGCATCACCATCCAGTAAACCATGTCAGTTCGTCACCGTAGCTGAGGGTTCCTTTGCCCTCCACTTCGCCCTTGACCCACTGGCCCTGGGCACACTGCAGGGCGCAGAGCTTGTGGCCTTTTGCCAAAAGCCGGACCGCTCTTGCAAAAACGATGATGCTTGGACACAATTATAATTAGGCACTAGACTGGCGACAACAATGAGGGGCCGCAAACTGGAATAACACAACTACTTAGAACAGCAGCAGTAAGCAACAGCTCCGTAACAAAAAGGCACAACTATTGGCAGTATTAAATTGGGGTAGCCTTTACCAATGCAGCAGCCGGGACAGTGAATAAACTACAGTATTTCGACCTAGGTAAAAGCAATAGGAACGCATCTGCTGTCAAAAACCGACCCATTGCCGTCAAGAGCCGTCGAGAACGGCGATGGTAAGAAGTGCAAGATACAGGGAACAAAAACATGGCCGAGTAAGGCAGCATACCGAATGAATCCCATAGGTACTTTTGCACAAGCCCTCTTTGCGAAAAGCAACTCCGACTGTCTGCACAAGCACAACTCACCGCACAGGATTCAAGTTTCCATAAGCTTCCCTTCAAGCTGAGTCGAAGCCCCGGATCTCGCTTCTCATCGGCCAAACTCAGAAGATCGAAACTCAACCAAAGGCGTGAAAAAGTTGCCCCTGCTCGGAAGAAAATTTCAGCCGAAGAGCTTCGAAGGTCTTGCCGTCCTGGTTGTAGGCAGCTCTAGATCGGGATTGTTGCAAGGGCCACATGCCAGGCCGGAAAGGACTCTCCACCCCCTGCCCAAAAAAAAATGCACTGAAAAACAAGTATATACAAATAGAAATACATAAATAAATATAAATATAAATAAATATATATATATATATATATATATATATATTCACTCACACACGCACACGCACCAAAGCAACACAGCAACAAACTAAACGTCCAACCATCAATTGAAGCGCGATGCCCTAAAGCTGGCGCCCCCCCCAGTGAGTTTAACTTCTTGAGCTCCTTTGGGTTCTGTTTTGAATTTTAAACCAGTTCTGTTTTAAAATTCAAAACAGCTCCCAGAAGTCTTTTACCGAACCCCAGCGGAACTCCCCAGGCGGGGCTCTCTGGGGACTGAAACCCTAAGCTTCTGGGGCTCCTCTTGAAGGGGGGCTCTTGGGGATAGCACCACTCGTGGGACCCTTGATGGGGACCCCTACCCTATAATGGGCTATATAATGGGAATATAATAGCTGCTATATTAAGGGTATATACCATAAGGGCACTGTAAGAAGCTGGTGATGTCAGGCTGGCGGTCCGGAAGATGCAGCTTGCCAGCGCCATGCTGCCTGCCTTTTCGCCAGCTTCCTTCCTCGGAGAAGTTCTTACCAAGACGATGACTGGGATGTAGTTTTGGGGCTCTGAAAAGTACTTATGAATAGGTACCTCTATAGGAACCATAAGGGAGATTAAAAAGGTTCCCAAATTGTCACTTAGATGAGAATAACAGAACGAGAAAGACGAACGCAAGAATGATGAGAGCAACGGTGTTCGCAAGTGTTGTCTCCTGTCAAGAACCCTTCCAGGCATGGACTCTGGCAGTGCAGCCGTGGTCGGAGGTGGAGATGCCACCCTTGATAAAGTTTCCGGATCCAACAAAATCGCCTACAAACTCTGGAAACCTCTTTCTGTTCCTACCACCTAGGACCTAGTTTGGTGCCCGAGCGGCTCGCCGCCCTTGCTTCCAATAGCACCGTGCACCACCCTCAGCCCCTAGCCTGCGAAAAACCCACCACCAGACCCATAGAAAGTACGAGTAGGATCCTTGACATCAGAAGCACCAATGTTGGACCCCTGATTCTGAGAACCCACCCAAACCAAACCTCCCCGACCCGAGCGGCGAAAGTCGTCCCATCGGCCAGTTGAAGATAACCTGGAATGTAGTTTCGGGGCTCTGAAAAGTATTTATGATTAGGTACCTCTATAGGGACCATAAGGGAAATTAAAAAGTTTACCAAATTGCCACCTAGCAACCTTCCTCGTGGAAGCGCCCTTCGCTCCATTGGCCGGTATAGCGAGCACCGTTAGCCTCAGAGCAGCCGCAACTTAACCATGGGGGCCTTAATGATTAGAGTAGAGATTTAGAGAACATTCTACTCTAATTATACCCCCAAAATAGTATAAGGTCATTATTCAGGCCCCTATAGTAGGTCTTGAAGGGGCTAATATTATCAGCCTTACGTGCGTAGGCTTCTGTCGCCTACGAAGTCTCTTGGCTTGGGATGCAGCGGTCGGGGGGCGAAGCCCAACCTTCCCGAACGCAGGAGAGTATGTTAAAGGTTCAGAGTTTGTAATAAACTGGACCCCTGTGCATATTTATATGTTTGATACGGATACACATGCCAGACACTCACATACACGTGCATGTCGACGTTGCCACTTGTCAGGCTTGATATAGGGGCCTTATTAATTAGAATAGGGTTTTGGGACCCATGATACAAGAATTACAATAAGGAACCCCACACTAGTTTTGGTAATTATTTAGGCCCCTATATTTCACAAATCTGGAAGGACATTGAAGTAGGAGTCGGTTCTTAGAAATCGCCACATCGACAATAACTTCACCAAGAATCAGTGATGACCTCAAGAAGAATCGGAGAATGCTCTAGAGTTTCGCCTACCTTTAGGGATCCGATGGGGTGATGCTGTTGGGGAGGACTCCGGCCCGATTCCAAAAGTCTGCAAGCCTCCAACCTTAGCCTTAGACCTTCTCCTTTTTCATGCCGTAGCCATACCAATGATTTAAACAACAGCCACGATAGCACTGTTAATAAGAATAACGACAATAGGAATAACAATAGTACTACAAGCAAAACTAATGACAATAACTCTAACAATGATTAACAATTACAGTAGCCAGGCCAAATAACAGCAACAACAACACTTTGACAATAACGATAGCAATCATAAGGACAAAAGTTCATCATCAACCGATTCTCTCGGACTGAGGCGGTGGCTGCTTCTAAGAGCCCGTCACCTCGGTGCTCGGATGTCAGCCAGGAAACGGCTTAGTGTAAGGGCCTTACAATACATCGAACAGGGTTTTGGGCCCCTTTATAGTATAATCTTAAAAGGAACCAAGCAATATTATTAGTATTGGTAATAGGGAGTTTCCGAAAATAGGGGACCCTAATATAGCACCCTAAATAGTAGAGGATCCCAATGAAAGGGAACCCAAATAAGGTACCCCAAGTTTTCTGAAACTCCCGATTATTCAGGCTTCCATATCAGTTAGACTCTCGCAACTCGGAATACACAGGCGAAGATGGTCCGAGCTCCACTTCAGGGCTTCTGGGCTGGCCTTTGGTCCCCCTTGGAAAATATTAGTATGTATATGTTCCTTATAAACCCAATAAGATTGGGTGGACTCCGATACGAAACTGCGAGACCGCTACATTCACTTGTGCATGCAGAAATACCTTCGGGGTTTAGGGCGACAGGTGATGTTGGGGACCCGGAAATTTTGAATCACTGGTTTCACTAATAATCATCAGCTACTGGCCCTTTTCTCTAGCAGTGCCGCGCCACAACTCTACATGGTTCGATTCTCGTACCCAGACTCTGCCGGTCAACTCACGATCTGATTCACTGAGTATTGAAAGCCTTTCTACTCCTTCCAGGTCGGCTGGGCTTTCTCCCATAAACAGCATGCCTTAAAAGCCCTCAGCCGCAGGCATTCGACTTTCTGTCATGAATTCCGGCATGTGGCCGTGCATCTGATTGTCTTTCCAGTCACCGACATAGCGCCCGATCGTGGGATGAGACCTGAGGATGGGCGAGGGTCTTCAGCTCTGGGTTCTCATCCTGGTCTACTTTCCGACCTTCAGGTTCAAAGGTCGAGATGGCGGAATAGTTGGTTGTGCTGGTCGGCTGGCATATCGATAGTTGTGGTCGTATCGAGCAATTCTGGTCGTGCCGACTGGACATCTGCCTCAGGTTCAACCACTCCAAAGAGCAAAAGGTAGACTTGCGGCATAGCATCGAAGGCAACCCGACTCTTGGGTCTAAGATCTTAGCTCGCTGCCGTCACTGAAGACAGCGCCATTGAATCAAGCTCTACAGCGAAGGACCGACAACATCAAGGCAACGCAAGACCCTACTCGTACTATAATAGCCGGCCCTACACCCTAAACATTCGTAAACCACTAGCATCTGGGCTCAGTGCTTCTGCCTAAACCCCCTAAACCCCAAAACCCTATGTACAGTCAAGCTCCAATGAAACCCCACTGGGAGTTTCCGAAAATCAGGATACCTTGTTTTGGGGTCCTTCTTTATAAGGATCCTAAAATTTAAGGTACCATATATGATCCTAAACCCTAAGCCGTCCCTATTTTCGGCAACTCCCCAATGGGGATCCCTGCCATTCGCCTCTCCCGGATCGGACCTCGGCCACACGTCAAGGCCCCCCCCCAAAAAAAATTAGGATAAAATCGTAGACGAATATACTATAATGGCACAGTATACTATATAGTACACTATAGTATAGTAGATCCACCGACGAGAGCAGCTTTCCACCTTACATCAGAATGGGACTGAAAAGTTGGTACGGCTGTCGGCGACTATGCGTGTATTTGATCCGGATTCGGTGCGCAGGCACGATCTGCCAGTGTGACGCTGGAAAAACCAACTCTTGCCTAGCCGGCACGAGCCAGTGATAGCGCACATTCCAAAGGAGAGGGCTAAACACCCTTCCCTCCCTGGAATATGCACCAGCATGCAACAAAACTAAATTGTGCAGCAGCTTTATCCCAGGCGATATCGGGGTTGAACCCAAAACTCGCCACGACTCACCTTTCCCAGCCCTGAAGACAGGCTTTGTTTTTGCCAGGCAGGTGAATCCTACACATGGGGGATTCTGCTGCATAATGCGAAGGACAAGCAGCTCGTTTTACGTGCGGCTGTCCAGGACATAAGTCATCGCTTAGCGGTGGCCAAACCAGAAAGTCAAGAAAATGCTCTTGCGACTTAACTAGCACGCGGCTAGCTGTCGGCGACCTTGGCAGCCTCTGCGTCTGTCTTCGATATGTCCTCCACATCGGTAGTTTTGGTCACGCTGGGCCCAAACATGGACATGCAGACTGGGAGGAAAATCAACCCGTGTGAACCGCCTGCCACAACAATGCCGAAGAACATCTGGAAGAACACGCGGAAGGCCTGGCTGGCCGAGAAGGCCAGAGGCAATATGGCCAAGAAGGTTGTGCTGACGCCCAGGAAGATAGGCTGTCCCATTTCCTTCATGGCCAGCTCAGCCCGCTTGGCCCGTGGCAACGATCCATCTTGCAGCCCGAAGCTGTGTGCCATGTGCATGGAGTAGTCCACAACCAAGCCAACTGCCATGATGAGGTTGATCATAGAGATGGAGTTGAGAGCCAGTGACCACAGCACGATGTTGCCCATCAGGTCCATGAAGACCAGTGCCAGGACAAGAAGAACCACCATCACTGAGAGGGGATGGGCCAAGACCAGTGCACTGATGAGAAGCACCGCCGCCAGACAGAGCGCAATGCTGACGGTCATCTGCTCGACAATGATACGGTACTGGTCAAAGAAGATATACGCCGGCGAGCTCACAAAGCTTCCAGGCAATGCGCTTTGCCACTGCGCCGTGAAGGTCTCTACCTCCTCGAGCAAGGCAACCTGCTGCTTGCTGTTGAAGGTGTCGATGTGATTGGCCCGAATCCGAATCACCTTGATCTGCCCATCTTGTACCACGACATCATCTTCGAACGCCTTGCCCGTCGGCGTTGAAAGGAACTCCTGGAGTGCGGGCAAGAAAGTGCTGCCCGTCACCAGGTGGCTGGTGCAAGTCGTGACAGCTGAGGGCAATCCTGCCTGGCAGCCGGTTCGGTTGGTCTCGACCGCTGTGAAGGCACTGTCTGGCAGGGACGGCAGGACACCCTTGTTCTGCAAGGCCCAAAGTGTAAAGACGGTGTGCCAGGACTGAAGGCCCCGGACGGAATTGACGTTGCTGAGTGCCATGAGCTCAGCGCCGGCCTCTTCCAGATGCCGCTGCACTGCCAGGGAGCTGAAGTCCTGGTCTGCGACGTACAAGGCCGTCGGCAAGGCCAAGCCTCCTGCCGAGAGGCCACCAAAGTGGAGGTTCTCCTGGTCGTAGAAATCTCGCAGGAAGCTGTTGTCGGGCGACAGGTCCATGATGTCAAAGTCCGTACTGAGGCCCAGGCTCACTTGCCAGGCAGACACAGCAGCCACCGCGAGAAACAAGATGACGGTAGCGAAGGAAATGGCCGGGTGGCTGGTCAGGAACTTGATCATTGCCACGAGGACCCTTTCAAGCGGCGCCGAACCCTCCGAGCTCTTCTTGCTGGGCATACACGATGCACCGGCCCCGACACAGAAGCAAGGGTCCAGGCGAGGGGGGTCTGCGCTGGCGCGCCTGGCGTCGAGGGCCAGCAGGGCACAGAAGGTGGTGCAGTGAAGAAGCCAAATGAAGAAGCACGAAACGGAGGCATAGAAACAGAAGTACTGGACGGAAGGGAAGACGCAGGTGGCACCCAGCAGGAAAGAGGAGATGGAGGTCACTTTCGTCAAAGTGATAGAGACTCCCACGCGCTGCATGGCTTTCTCGATCCGGTCTGGGATGCTCAGGGAAGGGTCGACAGCATCGAAAGCACCGGAGATAACGAAGGCATCGTCGATGCCAATGCCCACCAGAATGAAAGGGAGGATCTGCTGCAGCACGGTAAAGGGAACTCCGATCAGCATGCAGGTACCATAGCCTGCGATACAGCCGAAGATCACCAGGTAGAACTCGACCGCACCCAGCAGCCTTCTGCTCTGCGTCCAGGAGGCTGTCTTTCCCAGGAAGATCGAACAGAAGGAGGCCATCAGCACAAAGGCGATGGCAAAGAGAGGAATGTCCGCCTGCACCGTTCTGTTCAATTCGTCGTCTTGGGAACGCTCTGCCTGCACGAAAGCATTCACGTGTTCGTAGCCTTGCTCGGTGAGTTGGTCCTTGGTGAAATGCTGCACGAGAGCCTCTTCCCACTTCATCATGGCCTCCTCTGCGGCATCCAAGATGAAGTCGACGCGCACGGCAGTGGCACTCGTGATGCTACCGCTGCCATCGCGTGCGATGCCGCCCATGGAGTCGTCTGCGAAGGCTGGGGCACCGTCTGGGAAGTTGGCCTTGTTCACAGCAACCAAGATATCGGCTTGGCTCTGGACCGTCTGATTGAAGTCGGCAGTGTTGCCGCTCCCAAAGTAGCGGCGGATTCCAGCATTCAAGCAGCCGGAGGAAACCCGGAGGCACACATCGGCAAAGGTCTTTCCATCAGCATCAGAAAGTGCTTTCGCATCATCAGCCATGCGGAAGATCTCGGCCATCGTCTCAAGTCGAAGAATGTTCCCACCATCCTTCGCCGTGACCAAGACACGATTCACGCGGCCGGCGGTGGTGAAGTACCGCTCAGTCCACTCCAAGTCCTTCATGGCTTGTGATCCTTGATCCACCCAAAGATCACGAGCTTCGCTCACGGCCGTGAATCGCAAAACGCCCAGCGCACAAAGCAGGCAGCCTGCGACGGTCAGTGCAACGCACTTCCATGGGTTGCGAGCACAGGATTTCGCCACCCTGCCGAGTCCATGGGCCACGGCCTCCTCCGCACGCGAAGTGACAGTAAGCCAGGCTTGCAAGGGGGACATGGTGTTCCGACCCACTGGAAATCCTTGGAGCCGCAGGTTTTGCTTGAGCCAAATGCTCGTAATTGTTGGACACGGCACACCGGAAAGCAATACAGAGTTCCTTCTTCTGCGTCTTTCGTCCGGTCCTCTGAGGACGCGTCGCCGTACTCCCACTGACCCATGTAGACCTGAGCCAAAGTCAGTTCAACTTCTGGACTGACATAACCATCAAGCTTGGCGTCCGCGCGGTGCCGCTCTGCAGGCGCAACACGCCATGTCCGTGGCGAAGGCCTCACGGCAAGAATCGACAGCGAGTTGCGCTTCATAAAATGGCTTGTAATGCTCAACCCGAGTGCAGCCGTCTGAGCGTTTGGGGTTCGACTGCTCCAAGTCCGGCGACGATGGCTCGTGTCGGTCGCCTTGTTCAACACCTCCCTCGAAGCCGAACCTGGTGCCAATGCAAAGTCAAGCGCTCAAATATCAGACAATGTAAGATAGCAAAATATACATAATAGGAGAGTGAAATATGATATAACATAATACGAACATGTCAGATTGGAGCTGGCACCTCTTGCGCCGGCAGCAGCCCAAGGCCATATTGAGAACCAAGGCATGGCAAAGAGATGTTCAATATTTTGGGCGTTTCTTACTATACTAATGGAATAATATAACCCCAAAAGCCTATTCAAATTAATGTAACCCCAAAACCCTATTCTAGTTATTTGCATCCGTCGACGTGGACTGCAAACAAGGGCTAACGAGGCTTGAGGATGCCTGCATGTTTGCTCTGCCGTTTTTGCCCGAGGTGGTTCCCTTCGTGTGCGAATGCAAGTAAACGGCGACACATTCCCAATCATTCCCAGAGACCGAAGGGGCTCCGATTAAGTAGGAATGGTGTCGCTCACTTTCTGTGCAAAAGTTGCTGGATGGATGGCAGTATGATATAACTACAACGTCGTAGTGGTCGCTGGGCTATTGTCGGCACGTGGCGCGGTTGCGGTGGTGGTGGTGGTGGTGGTGGTGGTGGTGGTCGTGCTGGTTGGTGTGTCGGCAGTGCCAAAGCCCCTTGCTGAAAGTGCGAGGCCTGTTCACACTTCGAGCAGTGAAGGAGCGATCTGCTTGCGCACAATGCTCATCGCGAAGACAGGTCGGGCGCATTTGCTGGCAGTATCGAGCGCAGTCGCATCGTTTCTGTACTCCAGGGCTGCATACCAGTAATCATTTCGAGGATCAGCTAACTTTAAGCCGCTGGAGCACTTCAGTACACGTGGTGGCGCACCTGCGAAGCAGTTCAACATCACTCGTGCCAATATTCCAAAGCAGCGAGTGGAGAGTGCATGTAGCAACCCTCATAGTTTGGGCACATCGTCCGCCTGATCTCCGCCAAAGTCAAGATCCTTCTTGACCGTGACCGTCGCGAAATCTCCGACCGTCGTGGTCAGCCTGTCTTGGCTCGCTTCATGCGAGACCGTTGCATTTGTTGCCAACGACCCATCCCCGTCTGCTAAGAAACGGTGACGGTGCTGTTCAGGCTAAAGGACAGATGTGCCACACCATGTGCGGCGCAAACGCTGTTAAGAAAGTGTCAAAACAGTGTGGGCCGCATCCAAACAGCGCCTTGCAAAATCTCTGTCTGTAGGGCATAAGGGTCCTGTCAGAGATCTCCACCCACATCAGGACACTCCCAAAATCTGTGTTTCCCCAGGCCTGAGGGCCCCCGCGGGAGCTGCCCGACAGCAAAATCTCTCTCTCTCTCTCTCTCTCTCTCTCTCTCTCTCTCTCTCGTTTCTCTCGAGAGGAACGCGTCGCGGCCCGTCCTGGCTCGTCTGCAAGAGCTCCTGGGCAGATCCACCCATCAAGTCGTCCCGAAGCTGAGCTTTCGGGCTGCCGCTCATTTATCTTGATGCTAGTGAGCCTCACAGTCCACAAGTCAACAGTATCGTAGCCTATGCAAAGCCAGACTGCCGTTGTAGTGTAGTAACCCCAATTGTAGTAACACTCCGAGACTAACTTTCCTGTCCTGCAGCTTCCGGTGGGCCTCGTCATGCTCCCGCAGCGCCGACTCCAGCTGCTGTGCCTGGACCGCGAGGTGATGTGAGTGCGGAGGACATGCTACAACCACTCGCAGTTTATAGTCAGACATCACTCACTGGTTGTATGGCCAGGGCGCTTAAGGGGCCCAAGGAGAGACTTCAGCACCTGGAAAGCTCGATGCAACAAGTAGAGAGCCAGCTTTATGCTTCGGAGCGCCTGGGAGGTGTGGGCGGTGCGCGTGCCCTGGATCGCCGAGAGATCGCCCTGACCAAAACTCACAGAAAACTTCGTCAAAATAGCGACTTATTTGGGTTAAGGCCCCCAATCCCGGACCCCCTCCCCCTTAATTACCTCCCTAAGCGTCCCTACGATTTAGGCTTTTCGACTCTCGGAACTCTCACGCAGCATAGACTGGTCCCAAACCCCGCCTGGCGCAGACGGGAAAGTCAAGCACTAATACACACTGTTGGCTTCCCCGATGTTCTGTTGGGGCGGGCGGTCTAAGAGGTGCTTTACAGCCATCAATTTCAGGCTGTGCGGCTCTGCGTTGCGGGATTGTGGTTCTGGAATTTGTGAGCAACCCACCTCCTACCCGATCAGATCTTCCTACAGCGGGTCTAAAGCAAAAGGCCGGCAGAACAGCTTCAACAGCACACGAAGCAAGCTACTTACATACGAATCCATGCCAAATCCGATGCCAAGGTTCATGACAATGTATGGTCGACAGCACCTCCAACCATAGCTGCATGAAACCTCAGTCCAGCCTTGTGTTGCCCGCGGTACAAACATACTTGCTGACTTGTGCGAAGTCCCCATCCATTGGGCTGGGGTGATGGACAGGGCGTACAAACAACATTCCTTGACGGCAGCAATCGAGGGCAAAATCCCTCGAAAACCCTAGGCCTGTTGAATGGCGCAGAATCGAGGACACTGCAGCTATGGAGCTCCTGCAACTGGTCTTCACACAAATGGTCTCAAACAGCTCTGGGCACCAAAATTCGCACTCCAGGTACCTCTGGGGTTAAGCGGCGACGGTCCCGAACTCACGGAACGGCAGCGACATGCAGCGAATTGCAGCGACACGCAGCGACTCTTTTCGCCTCATAGTATGAAGGACATCATCTTTGGAGACTGCATCTGAACTGCCAATTTTTCGCACGCACAGACCATGCCTACAGCGCCTTGTCACACTGCAGACTGGCCGCTGCCGTCTCCAGTCCACCTGTAGCTGGAGCTGGAAACCGCAAATGAAAACCGAATTCGCAGTCCAAAAGTCTCACTTTACCAGTGCATACTGATTTGCAGTCTTGGCTTCCAGAGCACGGGAAATCATGTATGAAATGGTAGATCAAATCGTAGATTCCAGGTCAAATCACAGATCAACTCGCAAATCAACTTCAAATCGTCAAATCAATCAAATGCCGCCCGGCAGGTTGAGGCATATTCAGCTTAATGTACAGACCAGGCATGTTCAAGCCATTCACTCTGCCGTTGCATGGAATCCTAAATGAATGCCAAGCAGGTACTCGAACTAGCTGGAACAGTTGCCCCAATCATGCGAGTCCACATCAGACACTCGTCTGCGTCAGAATCATAGTTGATTCCTTTGCACCCAGTATCATGCTCGCACCGTGACTGACAATTCTCAACAGAGCGCGCAGAGATGTTGTGGAAGTAGGCCTCCGTGATGTCAGATGTGTTGTCGCCTCTGCAGGCAGTACGATGGCCGCCCTGGAATGATGAGATGCTTTGAGAGAAGACAGGGGTCTGCATATTGCGGTAACACTCATAGCCAGGGACACTGGTGACAGACTCGATGCCCGCCGGCCGCGTCCATAGCTCACACCGTCCAGTGCTCAATGCAAACTCCACACCACGGCATCGCCGTGGGTTCATGCTGCATTGTCCTTGGCACTCCTCAAGACTTGCGGCGCTGATGGCTACATAATATGCTGTAGAGTCATCTGCTGGATCCTTACCACGACAAGCAGCTTCAGCTTGGACAAGGATCCAATCACCGGCAGAAGTCGTGGAAGTCGTCGTTGTCGTGGTTGTGGTGGTGGCTGACGCGAAACTGTAAACTGCTCCCCACTGCCATGCTAATGGCGTGCAATCATCAGCTGCGCACTTGCAGTTTTTGTCACCGTTCTTCACCCACACAATTCTGAACATGGGGTGTTGCTTGGGCGCATCCATACAGAGCCTCGCGCATTCCTCGGCAGTGTTTGTGACTCCCAACCAAGACGTGGCTGGCGAGCAAGTATGGCCCTCCCACAGCAGGTCAACTGCAAAAGCAGTGAGCGTGACTGTCGAAGTCGTCGTCGCAGAGGTAGTAGGATTCGTAGAAGTCGTAGATTTCCCCATTACTTTGACGTAACACCGGAAATAGTCTTTCCAGACATGGTCCTGCCTCCCCTCCCAAGCACCGGCGTGAAAATCTGTTTCTGGCGCAATCCCATCACCGCCGAGCGTAACCCCATCTCCGGGATGTGAATATCTCAGCTCATACCGCTTCAGAATCTTCCCCATCTCACTCCCTCCATGGCTGCAGCTCGTACGACTCGAATTGGCTTGCAACAAAGACCCGAAATCCTCTGTCTCACATTTGGTTTGAAAGGCAACGCCGTAGCAGGCGGGGTCATCGAGACAAGCATTCTTGTTCAGGCCGGTCGTGTCTTCCTGCGTCAGGTAAGCCTGTCCTCGGAGCCCACCTGGGAGTACACAAGCTGTGCCAGCACCGGCATCGGCCATGGCAGCCACCCAGGCTGTGGTCGTTGGCGGCGCGGCCTTCCGTACTCGGCTCCGGGCACCCTCGGCGCTACCACGTTGGCCGAACCGTCTTGCCCCAGGTTATCGCAAAGCCAGTTGGGGTAGTCTGAATTGCAATAAAACCTGACATTGCAGTCTGATGCATAGCCTGCGGCAGGGGGAGGGTACTCCCAAGAGATCCATGATGTGTTGCACGAGAGCTTCTGATAGCCGCTACAGGTCGGCTCACTTAGGCAAAGTGACTGGATACTTGCTTCCAAGTCTGCCAGACTCTCCCAAGGTGCGGACTCTGGGAACCCATAGAGTGTATTCCACACCGGCCTAATGAAGGCCCGCTCATGACTGTATGCTGGTGATAAGCCAGCAGAGTCCCGGCAACACCCAACTCCCACATCTTGGAAGGGGGGCCTAGTCGTGGTTGTTGTTGTCGACATTGTAGTTGTTGTTGTGGTAGTAGTTGTTGTGGTGGTGGTCATGGAGAATTTGTAGACCGCACCCCAATGCCACTCTGAGGGGGTGCAATCAAGATCTGCGCACTTGCAGCTTTTGTCACCATTTTTCACCCACACAACCTTTACGGTCTTGGACCATTCCGATACCCGCCCGCTGTCCATGCAAACCGTCACACATTCCTCAACAGTGTTTGTTGAACCCAACCAATTTCCGGCTGGTGAACATGTCTGGTTCTCCCAGGTCTCTTCAAGTCTCCATGGCCAGACCGTGGCTGAAATCTTATATTTGTAGGTCTCTGCCCATGGCCAACGTGATCTCACGCACTCTGTATCTGCACACTTGCAGTTTTGGTCTCCATGTTTCACCCAAACAATCGCCATGGCACCGCCTGGGGTGTAGTTGCAGCAGTGATCATTTTTTTTGGAGAAATAACAGCGACGTGCGCATGCATCAGCTGTGTCCGTCGCGCCAAGCCAATCTCCTGCTGGTAAACAATCAGATTCAACGGCGGTGAACGTTCTGCTAAATCTTCGTCTGCTGCTTGTAATGGCACCCTCTGTGTGGAGCATGGTCTTTTTCTGCATCAGCTGCAATCCTTGCTTGCGCTTGCATGTGGATGCTCCCACACAGAAGTGCAAGATCGAAGTCACAAAGGCGAGGTGTGCGAGGAGTGCCATGGTGGCCATGGTTGGTTGCTGCACTTCCGAACTTGTGCGCTTGTGCCAAAATGGCTTCGCAAGTTTCACCACGGGCGCACTGCACGATCAGCGCCGACATCTTTGTCATCACAAGCTCAAAGTCTTCACGACAAGCTGTGCCGCAAGCCGCAAGTACCCCTACAGCTGAGCCTCCAGTTCTCCGGGTTGGGTGGCTCGGTAGCCACCTGAGAGGGGACCAGCGGCCCCGCAGCCAAAGGCGAGAATTAAATGGTTTGCGGGGATCCCGTGTAGTGCCGACGGGACCCAAGGGACCCAGCACAAATCTAGGCTTGTAGAATGTCAGACCCTGACCATGTAGTCACGGTGTAGTTGATAATTACATGCAAGGGACCTCCATGATTACGCGGTTCTCTTTTGGATCCCACGCGCAAGCGTGATCTGCCAGATGCTTGACTAAGCCTGACAGCTGCTTCTGCCCACGTAAAGACCAGCTCTCGCCTAACCGGTGCGAGCTAGTGATGGAGGCTTTGTCTCCCAAACAAGCTTAAAGCAGGCCGGCCACTGCGGCTTTGCAAAGCCGCGGGGAACCTCAACAAGCAAGCCTCGATTCCTGGACCAAAGCACAAGAAGACCCTGGCCGGCAGCACTCCAAGCTTGGGATCCCTGCCAATCGCCTTCACCGCATTGCACCTCGGCGTGCCAGGAATTGAAAACGAGAGCATGCTCTCAACCTTCAACTCACTCGGTCAGCAACCTCTCAATCAGAAGGTGATGATATCAGGTCCTCAGCACAAGGCGACGGCTACTCGTGCTGGGCGTTTTTCTTCGGGGTTCCACGCGCAAGCGCGCTCTGCCAGTCAAAACCAGGTTACGCCGACAGCTCCTTCTGCCAGCGGAAAAACCAGCTCTCGCCTAGCCGGCACGAGCTAGTGTTAACTGCTAGCACACATTGCAAAGGAGAGGGCTGAACACCCTTCCCCATGGAATATGCAAACACGTGTGGCATGCGATATAAACAACTTGTGCAGCAGGTTTCCCCTGGGACGATCGTGGGAGTTGCTCCCGAAGACTCCGCGACCCACCCTTCCCAGCCCTGAAGACAGGTTTTTCTTAGCCAGGAAGAAGGAGAATCATGGTAAAACATGGGGAACCCTGCTACAAGAATCAAAGAGGACAGGCAGCTCGTTTTACATGCAACCGTCCGGGACACAAGTCATCGCTTGGCGATGCCCATGAATACAACCTTGCTTTTCCGACTCACCAATGGCTCATCCCTAACACTCGAAAACCTCAACCGTCCATTTGTCATCCAGCTCCTTGGCTTTTTGAGCTTCTTCCTTGTCTGCCTTCGAGGGCTTTTCTACATCTGCGTCCAATGCGCCTTCCGTGGCAGCAGGCTTCGTCACGCTGGGCCCAAACATGGACATGCAGACGGGGAGGAAAATCAACCCGTGTGAACCGCCTGCGACAACAATGCCAAAGAACATCTTGAAGAACACGCGGAAGGCCTGGCTAGCCGAGAAAGCCAGGGGCAATATGGCCAAGAAGGTTGTGCTGACGCCCAGGAAGATCGGCTGTCCCATTTCCTTCATGGCCAGCTCAGCCCGCTTGGCCCGTGGCAACGATCCATCTTGGAGCCCGAAGCTGTGTGCCATGTGCATAGAGTAGTCCACAACCAAGCCAACTGCCATGATGAGGTTGATCATAGAGATGGAGTTGAGAGCCAGGGACCACAGCACGATGTTGCCCATCAGGTCCATGAAGACCAGTGCCAGGACAAGAAGAACCACCATCACTGAGAGGGGATGGGCCAAGACCAGTGCACTGATGAGAAGCACCGCCGCCAGACAGAGTGCAATGCTGACTGTCATCTGCTCGACAATGATACGGTACTGGTCAAAGAAGATATACGCCGGCGAGCTCACAAAGCTTCCAGGCAATGCGCTTTGCCACTGCGCCGTGAAGGCCTCTACCTCCTCGAGCAAGGCAACCTGCTGCTTGCTGTTGAAGGTGTCGATGTGATTGGCCCGAAGCCGAATCACCTTGATCTGCCCATCTTGTACCACGACATCATCTTCGAACGCCTTGCCCGTCGGCGTTGAAAGGAACTCCTGGAGTGCGGGCAAGAAAGTGCTGCCCGTCACCAGGTGGCTGGTGCAAGTCGTGACAGCTGAGGGCAATCCTGCCTGGCAGCCGGTTCGGTTGGTCTCGACCGCGGTGAAGGCACTGTCTGGCAGGGACGGCAGGACACCCTTGTTCTGCAAGGCCCAAAGTGTAAAGACGGTGTGCCAGGACTGAAGGCCCCGGACGGAATTGACGTTGCTGAGTGCCATGAGCTCAGCGCCGGCCTCTTCCAGATGCCGCTGCACTGCCAGTGAGCTGAAGTCCTGGTCTGCGACGTACAGGGCCGCCGGCAAAGCCAAGCCACCTGTGGAGAGGCCACCAAAGTGGAGGTTCTCCTGATTGTAGAAATCTCGCAGGTAGCTTTTGTCAGGCGACAAGTCCATGATGTCAAAGTCCGTACTGAGGCCCAGGCTCACTTGCCAGGCAGACACCGCAGCCACCGCGAGAAACAAGATGACGGTAGCGAAGGAGATGGCCGGGTGGCTGGTCAGGAACTTGATCATTGCCACGAGGACCCTTTCAAGCGGCGCCGAACCCTCCGAGCTCTTCTTGCTGGGCATACACGATGCACCGGCCCCGACACAGAAGCAAGGGTCCAGGCGAGGGGGGTCTGCGCTGGCGCGCCTGGCGTCGAGGGCCAGCAGGGCACAGAAGGTGGTGCAGTGAAGAAGCCAAATGAAGAAGCACGAAACGGAGGCATAGAAACAGAAGTACTGGACGGAAGGGAAGACGCAGGTGGCACCCAGCAGGAAAGAGGAGATGGAGGTCACTTTCGTCAAAGTGATAGAGACTCCCACGCGCTGCATGGCTTTCTCGATCCGGTCTGGGATGCTCAGGGAAGGGTCGACAGCATCGAAAGCACCGGAGATAACGAAGGCATCGTCGATGCCAATGCCCACCAGAATGAAAGGGAGGATCTGCTGCAGCACGGTAAAGGGAACTCCGATCAGCATGCAGGTACCATAGCCTGCGATACAGCCGAAGATCACCAGGTAGAACTCGACCGCACCCAGCAGCCTTCTGCTCTGTGTCCAGGAGGCTGTCTTTCCCAGGAAGATCGAACAGAAGGAGGCCATCAGCACAAAGGCGATGGCAAAGAGAGGAATGTCCGCCTGCACCGTTCTGTTCAATTCGTCGTCTTGGGAACGCTCTGCCTGCACGAAAGCATTCACGTGTTCGTAGCCTTGCTCGGTGAGTTGGTCCTTGGTGAAATGCTGCACGAGAGCCTCTTCCCACTTCATCATGGCCTCCTCTGCGGCATCCAAGATGAAGTCGACGCGCACGGCAGTGGCACTCGTGATGCTACCGCTGCCATCGCGTGCGATGCCGCCCATGGAGTCGTCTGCGAAGGCTGGGGCACCGTCTGGGAAGTTGGCCTTGTTCACAGCAACCAAGATATCGGCTTGGCTCTGGACCGTCTGATTGAAGTCGGCAGTGGTGCCGGTCCCAAAGTAGCGGCGGATTCCAGCATTCAAGCAGCCGGAGGAAACCCGGAGGCACACATCGGCAAAGGTCTTTCCATCAGCATCAGAAAGTGCTTTCGCATCATCAGCCATGCGGAAGATCTCGGCCATCGTCTCAAGTCGAAGAATGTTCCCACCATCCTTCGCCGTGACCAAGACACGATTCACGCGGCCGGGGTTGGCGAAGTACTGCTCAGTCCACTCCAAGTCCTTCATGGCCTGTGATCCTTGATCCACCCAAAGATCACGAGCTTCGCTCACGGCCGTGAAACGCAAAACGCCCAGCGCACAAAGCAGGCAGCCGACGACGGTCACTGCAACACACTTCCATGGGTTGCGAGCACAGGATTTCGCCACCTTGCCGAGTCCATGGGCCACAGACTCCTCCGCACGCGAAGTGCAGGCAAGCCAAGCCTGCAGAGGAGACATGGCACCAGTTCCTACCTACTGGAAATACTTGGAGCCGCAGGTTGATCTTGAGCCGACGTCAAACGGAAAGGAACCAAAGTCCTACCGGATGATGAAAGAGGTACACCACTGGCCATGCAAGAATGAATTTCCGGTCTGGTACAACCATGCACAAACAGCAGTGTTCAGCATAAAGCTGCCAGAATCTGGCGCCCAAGCGATGCTGCTCTGCAATGCAAGCCATTTCCAGGACGAAAGCCTCATGAAAAGATTTGCAGATTCTTGACAGAGTGCAGTGGCCCGGTAATGCTCGTGCTGCGTCCTACTCGTGTGCAGTAAGGACTCTGGCCTCAGCTGCAAGGATGGCTCATGCCGCCTCGTTCAACTCTTCCATCAAAGCCGAACCTGCAAAGGTGGGGTCCGACGCTGGCAGGGCAGCTTGGGCCCGGTACCTCGTGCGCCGGAAGCAGCCGAAGGCAACGACAGCATAGCGGCAAAAGGCGCGTTTGCTATTCTTGCGCTTCAACACTGAGTGCAAACTACAGCGCTGCCGACAGCGAACACTCGCAGGTTTCGTGTCGTTCTGTTGGGTCTTCAGCATGTCTCAGCTGCAGGAAGTTCGTGTCACAGCACGTGCAAGCTGCACAGATAGCAAGAAGAGATGAACGGTAAACCAATCATGTTGCACCATTTTCCGCGCAAATACTGCCGGGCGGGTCATGCTCGCAGAATGGAGCACTACCCATAGGCCCCAAAGTAGTTCCTTTTTGCGGTTCATATATAGAGGAACTAGTTTGGGGCCTCTGGGTAGTCTCGTCTCCGTCGAGGACGCCTCCTTCTAGAAGGTTCATGATGAGCCTGTGTCCGCTGCTTATGCTGAGCGTTGAAGCCTCACTTTCTGGGCTAGGGCATGGGGCTGCTACGTGTATAAGGCAGGCAGGCAGGCAGGCACATACTTGCATACCTACGTGCATGCTGCTTACGAGACCTAGCTGCCTGCCTTCCTACCGGCCAACCTGCATAGGTACACGCATCCTTCCTTCCTTGGTCCCTCTAGCCAGGCTCCATCAAAACTACTTACCTGTTTATGTGTGTTTGTGTGGGACACGTCATGTCCAGTTGTGCACGAAGGAGACGTCGTGGGAATATTCAGCAGGAGAACACCTATATGTGAAACGATAACACGGCAAACACAAACGCGCATACGAACCTATGGGTAGGTAGATGGATTTTTGGATCTCAATATACTACAATTGCAGAAGTCATACAATACCTCTGCATACATACAGATGTACATGTAAAGGTAAATAAGCACATGTACAACTCCGGTTTGAGTTCAGGAAAAGTCGAAAAATGCAACAGGCGGAGCACGGTGTGGCTGGCACGCGCCGCCAGCCCAATCTCACATAGCCTAGCCTAAAAAGCCGGGCCAGCTCAACGCCATCAGTTAGAGAAATCGATAGCAGCAGTAAGCAAGTGCCGGCCGGACGGTCTCGGCTGTCACCGTGGAACAGAGTTGTTGCCAGCGCTCTCCACAGGTGTGCCGTCGACGAAATAGCCAACATCTGCAGAGTACCCGGACGCCGGAAGTGCTGAGCCTGGTACATGAAGGTCCGGCTGGATGTTCTCAGGGTGGTTGATTGCATTGCCAGCTTTGTTAAGCGGAGTTCCATCGGGCAAGTAGCCCACATCGTTGTGGAAATGTGCACGTGGGAGCGGTGACCCAGGGGTGTGACGATCGGGTTGAATGGTCTCGGGGTGGTTGATGCAGTTGCCTGCGGTGTTGAGTGCCGTTCCATCTGGTAAATACCCAACATCGTTTCCATACTCCAGGTCTGCATAAGCATTTCGCTGATAGGCGTACTCAAAGCCACTGGAGTACTTCAGCGCCCCGTTCACTGCAACAGGTGCCGAACCTGATAAGCATTTCTGGACATGCTCATGCACGCTGCTCGGTTGCTCTACTAGGGGCTCTGACATACCCTGCTCCTTGGGGACATCTGCGCGCCTGATGTCCCGGAAGAGCTGACAGAGCCGCCAGATGCTGGCGCAGCCACCTGCCAGGGGGCCGAAACTCGGGGGAATCACACTTTTTCAATCTTGGCAAGAAGCCGAACCAAGGCAAGCCGATTTTGGGAGAGCTCAAACACAAAGATCCAGTTGTTGGCAGTTCGAAACTTCCCTGCATGGATAATTAAACATATGTGCAGGCATAAATGTTCAATCGCGTTAGGATCACAAGGACGTGCATGCACTGGCAAGCCCAATTTGCCTTCGGCGAACCCACATTGTCTGCGCGGAAGTTGTTGCCAGCGCTCTCCACAGGTGTGCCGTCGACGAAATAGCCAACATCTGCAGAGTACCCGGACGCCGGAAGTGCTGAGCCTGGTACATGAAGGTCCGGCTGGATGTTCTCAGGGTGGTTGATTGCATTGCCAGCTTTGTTAAGCGGAGTTCCATCGGGCAAGTAGCCCACATCGTTGTGGAAATGTGCACGTGGGAGCGGTGACCCAGGGGTGTGACGATCGGGTTGAATGGTCTCGGGGTGGTTGATGCAGTTGCCTGCGGTGTTGAGTGCCGTTCCATCTGGTAAATACCCAACATCGTTTCCATACTCCAGGTCTGCATAAGCATTTCGCTGATAGGCGTACTCAAAGCCACTGGAGTACTTCAGCGCACCAGGTGACGTACCTGCTCGGCATTTCAAGTATCACTCACGCTCCTTCGTTACCTGAACACTCGAGGGGCCATGACACGCACTGCTCGGTCACACTTGCGAAAGCACATAGTAAAGCACCCCTTGGGGACATCTGCGCGCCTGATGTCCCGGAAGAGCTGACAGAGCCTCCAGATGCTGGTGCGCCCGCCTGCTAGGTTGCCGACATGCTGCTGCGGGCATCACACTTTTCAAGCTTAGCAAGAAAGCAAAGATTGACGCAAGTGAAGTCGCCTTATTAGTTTGGAAAGCTCAAACTCTTGCACACGTCCAGTTGTTGGCAGCTTCGGTATGTCTTTACTTATTGCACTGCTAGAGCATTCACGTCGCATCCTGCAGCAGCCTTCGCCGTAGTACTGGGACAAGCATGCACCAGCCAGCCCAATGTGCCTTCTGCAAAATCAGATCATCCGTCCGGAAATCAGGATCCTTCTTGTCGAAACCCCTCGCCAGGTAGTCCTGCTCCTTGGCCAACATTAACAAGGTGCTCAAATCTGAAGGCGTTCAAACAACCCAGGGAAAATGTCCGCAAGCATTGTAAACCACAGCAAGCCAAGCCATTTCAAACATAGAGGGCCTGAGCCCTTGTGTCGCAGAAGACCGTGTCTGACAAAAGGCCCTATAGTCGATCAGAAAACTGGATCTAGGAGAAGACCCTGTTGTCGGCGGTCTTTTCCAAACAGCATCGGGGAGGGGCTGGTGAAAACTGCGCCGCGATGTTTGGGCTCGTTGGTTTGATCGCCGAAAGTCGCACAATGCCCCTCGCAAATGATGCCCATGCAGGTTTCGCATGGTTTCTCGGGCTGCGTGCCGCGACCCCGAAGTCAGCCAAACTTTCATGATGCCTGGGTGCCGCGGGTTATTCGCCGAACTTCGGGCAAATGTATCATGCAAGATTCGGTGCAAGGACCTGTACTGCTAATGCTGAACAAGTGTTGCAGCAAGATTGCTAATGCGAAAACAGCAGCGAGAGTAGGGATAATAATGGCGTGCTCGAATTCGGTTGGATGGGTTGCCCCGAAGTCACTGGCTCTGCACATGTGACACATGGTCGTTCGGTGGTTGGTGCTTATGACGCTCGGGCTCGGCCGCTCATGCGGGTTGGATATGACATAACGCGCCGAAACCGCTGGAATACAGTAAAGTGGACACACAGCAGCTGCTGATATAGGTGCCTTAATGAGTGGAACAGGGTATTGGGGCCCATTATACTATAATCATAGTAAGGAACCCCCAACATAGTATAGGAAATTATTTAGGCTCCTATAGTACCCACGCAAATCCAGAGCCATCGACTCGCGACGTCTCTTCAACTTCACCGAGGCGCATAGGAGCTCTTCAGCCCCTGAAACCTGCGCTCATTCAGATATGTACCGTATGTACAGTATACATCATACGAATCTTATCTATGCTACCCTACAAAAATCAAAGCGTCCCCACATCCTGAAACTGCTAAACCACATTAGTGTGTCGGAATCGTGGGGGGCCTTCGTGCCAAATCCACCAGACTAAGTTTCGCCCCCCCCCACCCTCCACCTCTGGGTAGGAAAACCTTTTTGCAACTGGCCCGCGGTAGGACAACCTTGAACCCTTAAACCCCAAACCCCTATATGTGCCAGCATCCGCGCACCCCCCCCCCCCTCCCCCCCCCATGGTAATCCCCCTCCCCCCCCCTGTGGTTCCTGTGGTTCCCCCCCCCCCTGTGGTTCCTCTTGGTTTTCCCCCTCCCTTTTGTGGTTCTTCTGGTTCCTGTCTCCCCCCTCCCCCCCTGTGGTTCCTGTGGTTCCTCCGCGTGGTTGCTGCTGCTTTGTTGTTGCTGCTGTTCTTCTTCTTGTTCTTGTTCTTGTTCTTGTTGTGTGGTCGCCCGGGTCGGGGGGGGGGGATACCATTGGGGGGGGGGGGGGGTCGAGAACGCGGAGCGCGGGCACATATAAACCCTATGTAAACCCTAAACCCTAAACCCTAAGGAGCTTAAGCCTTCGACGTGCCTGTTGAGGAGGACCTCGGGTGAGTCGTAGGGAAAGCCAAGGGCCACTAGAATCCATAGCCTTTCGGGCCCCGTTTCCAACGCCTATATTCTGTACAGCTTCAGTATATGTTATAGTCCAGAACATAATCTTTTCTAGTCTATTCGATTCGATTTTTATGTTTATTACATGATACTCTGCTACATTTTGTAATTCTGTTCTACTGCATTTCTGCGTTATGGTATATTTTATGTCATTATATTCTACTGTAACAAATATTATACTATACTGCTTATTGCGTTATGGTACGTTGCCATGTGTTATATGATAGTATTGCATTTCGTTGTATGCATTCTAGTCTACTCTATTGTGCTCTTTGCTGTTCTCTTCTACATTTGAATGACCGTATCTTGTATTTCGGTCCCATTCCAGAATATCATGTTACTTTTACATTTTTATATTATGGAATGTTTCTTATCTTATATCGTATTGCATCATAAAGGCTTTGTCAGCATGTTGCAATATGATAAATATACTGTGCTGACATATCTTTCGCTATACTACATTCTACTGTATTTCACTGTAACATATTTTGTGCTACATTTCAGCAAATTGTATTATATCACCTCGCCCTATCTCATAGTATGTTATAATACAAGACGCTAAATCACATGATGTTGTGCCTTGTGATATTATGTTATATATAACATGAAATGCAAAGAATCTCTTCTCTCTCTCTCTCTCTCACGGACTCAGATACCTCTTCCATTCAGTTATATTGTTACCTCCGATATGAAACCGCATGGCCTCTTGGATTCCTTCCTAGTAATTGCCTGAAAAAAGTACGCGAGGCCGCAAAGCAGATTCCGATCCGGCCTGAAGCTTTCATCCTCAAGAATCAAACCAATCCCAATAGGATCTCCCAAACCGGGGGCTCGGGTTCAGGGTTTAGTGGTTAGGGTTTTGGGGTCACATACCCTTCTGCCCCGTGCCCGAGGGGCATGCTGTACTTGGGCTTCCATGACGGCATGTGCTTCTTGGCCTGCACAGCAATCTAGCACTCAGCACCGAAATTCAACCAAACGCACGGCCCATCAGTAGCCTACCAACCTCCAGGGAGGGTGCATACCTCTGGCCACTCCTACTAAGTGCACTTCTACCGGCCTCTAGCGGTGCTATATATACGGTGCCCAAGTTTCGCAGGTGGGCTGCAGCTTGTCATGATTTGGGCTTCCAAGGTTTGATACGTCAAAGCCCCCAATGCTGCGATCCTTTAGTCTTGGGGTTGTTGCTTCTCAAAGCGATTGCTGTGCTTCAGCGCTCCGGTGCCTGTGCTAATCTCAGATGCAGCAGGGCCTAATATAGGGGCCTAAAGATTACCAATACTATACTATTATTTTGGGGGTTACTCCTTTTAATCTATGTTTCATGGGCCCCATAACCCTGTTCTGCTTAAGGCCCCTACAGTCTCAATCGCCACGTCGAGGATTTACCCCCAAATTCCCAGGCTCAACAAGGCGCCCGCCTTCTCAATCGAAGCGAAGAAATGCATGCCGCGAAAGGGGAAGGCTTTCGGAAAGCCATCCGGCACCTGAGGAAACAAAGCACCTTATTTGGGGTGCTTATAATAGGGATCCTACTATTTACTAGGCCCCAACATGCATGCAGGCAGCGAAATATACTGACACAGCACCACTTGACATTACCAAACCTCACCTGACCCAGCCAAACCTAACATACCATGACCTCATGGTATAGCACAGCATGACGTGAAATGGCCCGGCATAGAATCCCATAACATGTAGGTACACCCATTCATACGACATGCTGTATACAAGGGCGACAACATATGTACTATTCATATGTGCGAATAATCGTACATGCATTGTACACACATGAGGGCGGTAGCACCTTGCATGTTACTGCAATGCCCCCGCTACATCAGCTATCCCATCACACCCGAACTCTCGACAGGAATCGCGAGGTCAGGCGACCCGAAAGCTGGTACAGTTTTTCAAAACGTGGAAATGAGACTTCTGTCAAGGCGGAACACCTGGATCGTCTTCGGGTCGTAGTGGACAATGGTCGGCTCCCCCATTCCGGCAGCTTCTGAGCAAAGCTTGGCCATGCCATCGAAGGTAACATACTCCTGAACAGGGTGTCTACGTGACCTGTTTGGGCTGGGCCCCCAGGAAATTTGTCCTGAGATTGCTGACTTCCTTGCAATTGTCCTGTTTGGACCTCAAAGTTCAACATCAAATGGGTGGAGTGTTCCCGGAAAAAGTGTGTGTGTGTGTGTGTGTGTGTGTGTGTGTGTGTGTGTGTGTGTGTGTGTGTGTGTGTGTGTGTGTGTGTGTGTGTGTGTGTGTGTGTGTGTGTGTGTGTGTTTGGCTTTAGTGCCGGTGTTGTTTGGGTTGCATGCATCATTCTGGCACAGGGGCAAGGAGCTGTCCAGAGATTTCCGAAGAATTCTGCGTTGCCAGCGGCTTTATCCACAGGTATGCTTCCCCGTGCGACTTGAAAGCACTCGAAGTTGCGTTGCTGCATGGTAGACGTGCCTAGAAAGCTGCAATATGAGTCTGCATGGCCACAGACGAGTACACACAACAAAGTCTAGTGTCTAAAGCTTGCTGATTTGCGGCGGGGACCAGGAGATACCAGGAGACCGACATACTTTGTTGGGAATGCCTAAGAGAACGGAATGTTTATTCCTTCCTCCCTTCATTCCTTCTTCTCCTCAGGGTTCCCTGCTCCCTCGACACCCTCGGGCCCTAGAAACCGCATTCGAAGAAAGAGGCCGCCCCATAAAGTCACCATCTCCACCTTTTTGAACTCTGACCAAACCTCCTTACAATGACAACTACCATATGACTACCATTCTTCCATTCCCTAAACCCTAAACCCTAAACCCTATATATCCAAAGGTAACAGGGAGCCTGGCTGGAGATGTTGTACACTTGCCGGGCCACCTCCTGTACAGAGGCGCCACAAAAGAGACAGCAGCAAAAGCACAACTGGCTTAGGGTTTAGGGTTTAGGGCTTAGGGTTTAGGGTTTAAGGTTTAGGGTTTAGCCCAATAAAAGAAGAGGCATGTAGCAAAGCGCATCATGGAACTGTAAGGTAAAGGAGTGCTGGACACGTTCCCTGATGAACGAATAGGCCATAACAGTCATAACATTTGAGCTCAGCCGGAGGGCACTGTTGCCCACGCACTTCGCCATGAAATCCGCCAAATCTTCACAGTGGCCGAGCTGTGTGATGTACTTGCCACCATAAGGTACGCAAACCTGGTCTCAGCCACAATTGATACTGCTTCGTCGACAGTTAGGCCTACATGGTCGTCCAGGAAACAGTACCAGACCTACGCACCGACTTGAACTCTCTGCACAATCGCTTCGCATCACAAGGCTATCAACATCTGAAGCCCAGATATGATAGGCCCCAAACTCCCGAACTACGCCCTGTGGCCCTCTCCTGTATACTATACTCAAGCCCTGAATCCCAGACGCCGGTCGTCCGCGCGTGACGCGATCGAAGAAGTACCGCTCCACGGGATTGTAATTTAGAGGGCCGTAGATGTAAACCGGCCGTATGGAGGTCCAGTTCAAGCCCATGGTGTCCTGCACTGTTCACTTCATTGGGTAGTTACTTGACGAGTTTAGCAGCCAGATTACGTTGCGGTAGATTGAACTCAAGCGACCTGAAATGCAAAACATGAGGCCCGTGATTCGCAGTCGGCTGAGTGAAGAGGTTCAAGTCAACCCATGAAGACGATTTAGAGGACATGTTGCTTAGACTGCAGTATCAGTAACCAGGAACACTGACAAAGCATGTGGCTCCTGCAACGCTACCGGTAAACTACCAGCAAAAGATCAAAAGAGACATGTAACTGCGAGGTGGAATCAAACAGCGATCACAAAGCAAGCCAGTTTTCTTGATGTCTTGCAACTGTACAGGTGGCATGAACGAGAGAAGCAGAACTCCGCGCCTAAACAGAAGCGCACACAAGCACAGACAGCACCGAAAACTGAAGGAATTAATTCACTATTCGTCGTCCTCGCCCTCGCCATGACTCTTCTCTCAGTACTTATGTTGACAAGCACAAGCAGCAATATTCATCGTTGTCATCTAAGCAAAATCACAGCAGTCCACAGAAGCAGGCATTCACCAAAGTAGACACACTGCTTACAGTGACAATCTCACAGGATCTTGAGGCATGTTTGGAACACCGTGTACGCTGTGATCCGAGAAATCCCGAGTCCAGGTAATTCTCGCAGGCCAGCTTGTCCTGCATTTGCAGAGACACTTGCAGTCATTTCACGCCTTTCGTCCGGCCCGGCAGTCAGCGTCCTTGTGACGAGAGTTGGGGTCCCCCGGAGTGGACTCGCTGAGCGGCAAGACGTCCGTCGGCCCATACACCCCGGCGCTACTCATGATGATGAACTGCTCGCAGCCGCCGCTTGCCTCTTTCCAATGCTACAATTACAAGCAACTCTTCCCTTCCAAACAGGTGCGGTAACCACTAGTGAAGATTGCACTACCCAAAACCATACAGTGTTTCGGCCATCCGATGTCTGCGGCACAATCTAGCATTCCGGCAGCACAAATCGTCTCTCCGGAGGGCCTGGAGGCCCTGCACGAGTGGCTGAATGTCCTCGAGCTTTCGCACATTGTTGTCAAACACCACGTCGAATTTTCCAGCCTCGGTGTGACAGACTTTGTGGACGTGTTGATTCTCCGCACCTGGACGGTGAAGGATACAAGTTGACATCTTGATGGGTCATCATGGGTCGGTCAAAAACATCTGCCTTTCGAAGCTTGCATTTGAGCGTCTGAAGACACCGCCGCCTTCAGCTGATCCGGATTCTTCCGGTCTGCTTGCAGCACCGTCACACCCTGGCAACAGGGATGCTCCAAGTCCCCTAAAATCTTTGTTCATCAAAACCCCAAACCCACGACCCTAAACCCTCAATCGTAAACCCGAGTGGCCCAGGCTTAGTCTCTTCACGAGCTGCTCCAACAAGCTGCCTCGAGCATCTGCTGGTACTGGGCATCGCCAATCCCTGGCAGCCGTTCCTGGGAAGCTGCATAGTATAGAACAGTGTAGTACTTTGGAATGAGTACAGTATGTAGCATATTGTAAAGTATACGGTGTAGAATTATGATACTGCTTGAAAGTATACTAAAGCATCGCATTGAATAGTGTAGTGTTCGAATCACTTCGGCACTCCATCTGCGCCCTCTGGCCTAGACCGGCCAGCGAGGTCGGCGATTTGTAGGTTTTCACGATAGTATAGACATGTATATATTATTGCAGTATACATTATGGTACAGTATACAGTCTAGTATAGACTACTCTCGCAACTCTAGTATATTTTCAGGACGATGGAGACATGCTGCCCTGCATTTAAGCATCTGGGAGGCCACCATTTGTCTTTCCGCGGTTGCAGACCACCTTGCAGGATAGACCAAAGGAGCTCATGGAATGATGGGGCCTAAACCTATACTATACTATACTGTAGTGCTAAACTACACTGTGCGTACTCTACTCTGCTATACTATGCTGCACTCTGCGATACTATCCCATCCTGTGCTATATCATACCATGCTAGACCAGCTTAGGACTTGACAAACGCCGGCGTCTCAGAAACCTCGCCAGGGCACCACTTGATGCCCGAGCTCCCGGAGTTTCGCCACCAAGTAGCAGCCGATAAACCTCGTCCCTCCCATCACCAGGATTCGCCTGAGCTTTTTTAGGGCTTCATCTCCCTTTGCGAGCTTGGGATATGCATCTATATCATGTACATCCAGGAATCCAGGGTTCGCCGGAGCTCGTGTGGTCTAGGACTTGGGGGTTTGTACAGAGGGTTTCAGCACTCACACTCGGACAAGCCTAGGCGAGGTTCACGAGTCCGCATCAGGCACATATGGCCCCAAGCCAGCGCACGTGTGGCGGCAGCCGAAAACATTAACACTCCAAGCCACTAGTCAAACCCGCATCCTGAGTTCACACTGCACACGACATAACAACTGAAGGCCGTAGGACTATCAGCATCACATCTGGTCTCGTAGTGTCCTCATGCGTACGTGGCAGCCTAACATGGGGCAATGATGCCCACACATATGCTCGCATATCCAGGGCCAGTTGGTTGTTCCGACGCGGTCCCCGTGCAGCTATACGTTCATGTCAGATGTCACCAAGCAAGCGAATTCCCACTGAGAATGATATTCTTGCCAAAACCATGTGGGGCATGCCGCAAATTCAGTCTTGTCTTGCCAAAAGCCATGCAGGAGCATGCAGTAAATTCAGTCTCATCTTGCAAACGGTCCCCGTGCAGCTATACGTCCATGTCAAATGTCACCAAGCAAAACGGATTCTCGCTGGGAACGATATTCTTGCCAGAAACCATACGGACATGCAGCAAATTCAGTCTTGTCTTGCCAAAGCCATGCAGGAGCATGCAGCAAATTCAGTCTCGTCTTGTAAACATGTCCTCCAACTCATGCATAGCCAAAGGGGGAGCAGCACACCGCAGCTTCTCGTAGCCACGCATTCCCATGGCAGTGCATTGTAGTGAGTCAGTGGACCACAGCCTCATGTCAGTCGTGGACCACAGCCTCATGTCAGTTGTAGCAGAAAGTCCAATGTCATCAAGCCAACAGATTCCCACAACGAATGGCGCTTTGCCCACAAACGGCGCTATACATTCAATAAATGCAGTCTTGCAAACGTATTCTCCAACCCATGCAGATGTAGGTAGACGGAGATGGCCGATGTCTGCCACTATCTGTGGTTGATTGCGTCTGTCCGAAATCAATGCCACATTCAGCAAATCCAACTCCATTACATGCAGATATCAGAACAGGATGCCAGAAAGCATACTGCGGCTTCATGCAGCCATACAGGTCCAGGTCAGCGTATTGTAGTGAGCCAGCGAACCACATATGCGTGTCAGTCACATCCATTATCTCTGGCCCTCCATCACAAGTTCGGAGCCCTGAGTCGTGACAGTCACCAGGCCGCAGTGTGGCAGACGCAGCATGTCCCATCATTCAGCACGAGCGAGGGTTAGGGTTACCTAGACCCCGACTAGGGAGGGAAGAGTGGCTAGTGACAAGTTACCAGACGAACGGACGCGGTGACAGCGAGGCCGAGTCAGAGGCCTTGTTCTGTGAGCTATGGAAGCCGTAGCGTGTGATTCGTTTCCGGTCCCCGCCCTGCCAGTGCCCGCGTCAGTCTTGTGGTGCATGCGGAGCATGAAAGGCCTGTCCAGGGGCGTGTTTGTAAGAGGACGGATCCTAAGTAGGGAAGGGCAGGCCGGGGAGGGGGACATCAACAAGGGCCGACTCAGACACAACGTGACGCTTTGGCTGTGAATCAGGGAACAAGCGGAGAGGTGCTTGATTAGGGTGTAACGGGAGGGGCGTCAACACATTGCACAAAACGCTTGGGCTTGGCTTGAACAGAACGACGGGGCTGGGATGGGTGACAGGGGTGGGCTGTTTCGGAGGCTGACACACGTGCGCACTCGGTCCGCATGGAAAAACCTCTTTAGCATGCAGCTCGTTCTCGTGTCAAGTGCAGTGGTCGGTCGTAGATCATTCCTAAATTCGTGGCACACAAATTCAAATTCGCAAATTAACGAGCAGGCATGCATTCAATTCACCGTCGGGTTCGACACACGCACCATGCTTGAATTCTCATCCGGGCATGTGAAAAACACAGCTCCAGACCTCTGTGCGCGCATGCAGCATCATCGACCGAGCGGTGCAGTGCCCAGCGGGGGTCTTCAGGAAACTACCACGGAAAGAGTTTGCCACAGCAAAAATGATCATACTGGGAGTGTGAAGTATGACCCTTCTCGCTCGGCACCGTCTGCACTGTGTCATTTACACTACATGCGCTCCTAGCATCTGCGAAAGAACGGCCCGTGGGATGAAGATGATCTTGCCGTCGGGGAGCGTGATGGGGCACAGGTATCCTTGTCCTCTGCTCATGACAGGTAACGACTCATCCAGATTCAGCATCGTTGGTCCAGCTGCAGGGGCACCAGTCCCTGCGGAAGGTGCCGTCGCTGTGGCGCCGCTGGGAGCGGCCGGGGCCGGCTCCGCCACTGGCGAGCGGGCCGTTTGTTCTGCGCCCCATGTCTCAATTTCTTTGTGGACAACCTCCAGCTGTTCTTTCGCAGCCTCGAGGAGCCCCCTCAGAAAATTGAGTTTATCTGGCAAGTGTTCACTGTCCCCCTGGATTCTATCCAGGGATTGCTGAGCCCATCGCAGCTGCCCGCTGAGGTCTTTGAGCTGCTTGCTCAGGCCATAAGAGACCGAGGAAAGTTCCTTCTGCAGCTGCTCGAACCTCCCGTTCATGCCCGTCCCGAAGCTCTCCTGGCTTCGTTGGAGGGGAGCAAGAAAACGTTGGAGGTCTCCATAGTCCTTCACCATCTTCTTGGCCACGCCATCTAAAGCCGTGGAGGTGTTGAGCTTGGCCTCTTCCATGGCTGTTTTGATGGATTGCAACGTGTCAGTGATGTCCTTGTACTCCGTCGCATCCAACTTAGCCCCAGCTTTAGCAAAGGCCTGCTTCAAGTCGTCCTTGGCACGTTGCATGGTGCGCTGAAGCTCCATCTGGTGGCTTGCAAGGGTATTCCCCAAATTCGCGTGCATGGCATGGATCATGTTGACCCTTTCGCCGACTTTCATGAGCTTGTTCATGACGGCCTGCAGACGGTGGGAGCCATCCACAAACCCTTCCGTGCACGTTCGAAGAAGGGGTCCATCTTCTTGCAAGAGCTCCATCATCTGCCGAAGGGCTTCCGCGCCAGCTTGGCGAGTGGCGTAGCCTTCCGCGTGAACCAGAGCTTGAAGTTGTTGTACGGCTCTGACAAGGTCCCGTTGAGGGCAAAGTCGAGGGAGCCAGCCTCCGCGGTGGCCCAAAATCACGCCTGCGACACAGGCGCCGATCAGGGCTGTGAACACGGCCGTGCACCACATGTGCATGTAGCCCTCAGGGTCCGAGGCATCCTCCATCTTGTAGCCACGCGAGCCGTAAAGGGCAACGGACATGGCAGTCACTGGTTGAGCTATGGGCCTGGTAGTCGTCGCTTCAGCCAAAGGGAGCTGGCGCGCAGTGGTCAGCTTGTGTCGTCGTGTCAGCTGAATGCAGATGCGTGGACGCAGGCTCTTCAGTGGCAGAGGCATGGAGACACGGCAAAGGACCTCTAGCACAAGCAACCTACCAGACCCGAAGCCCTCCAAAGTCCAGAGAAACCAAAAGGTATACCCTCCAAGGCGAACATCCAAACGAGCCCACCCTCCAAGGCGAACATCCAAACGAGCCCTAAGCAAACCCCCCAAACCCCCGGCCCCCAAACTCTCACGAGGTAACCCGCGCGCCTCCTTGAGCTTCAACTGGTGGCACAGCACGCATTCGCAGAGTTGAGGATGGTTCAGGGCTGAGGTGTACTACGGAGAGGGCTGTGGTTTCAAGGAAGCAAAGGAGGGTCAGAGACGCATGCCTCCTATGTTGGCTCCTCTCTCCAGTCACATGCTGAAACCCTCGCTGCCCACAACGCACAAGATGCATTTGTCGCAGGCCTCCTATGTTGGCTCCTCTCTCTAGTCACATGCTGAAACCCTCGCTGCCCACAACGCACAAGATGCATTTGTCTGCTGCGGCACGCGATGTGCGAGCATGAATTCAACAAATTCACAAATTCACAAATTCTTAAATTCAAGTACAAGTGCACATGCAAATGTATCTACCATGTCCCCTCATGCAATTGGCGTCCCTCTCATAACAGCTGCAATTCTGTACCATCAGGAACCGCAAGGCGAACTATAGGCAGAGACGAAGCTGACGGGTCACTGTGCGGGTACGCATTCTCCATTGTGTGCTGCAGGGAATGTAGCAAATCAGTCACATCATGCAGTTGGCCTCTCAAGTGGCCAACGTGTTGGATTTCGGCAAGGTGGGACAGCTTGGCATGCACTTCTTGCACCATTGAGTGGGTGTTATCCACTGCCCCCAGCCTGCTGCGTATCTGGAGCCCATGGTACAAGGTGTCCAAAGATTCACCATGCCGCCTTCGGAGATCTGCGATTTCGCCGCGAAGTTGGTGGAGAATGTCATGCTGCTGTCGCTGTTCTTCCAACATCTGCATCACGGTGACATGACATGCATGCATCAAATTCCGGTCTGTACGTATGGCACGCAGCGCTGCATAGAGTATCGTCGTCAGTCCCACCACTAGGGCAAGAGCACAGGCGATCTGGAAAAACATGTATACGAAAATCTCCTACCAAGGTGCGAGGTCTCGGAGCCAGACTGCCGCAGGTTGCTGGATTACCCACAACTTCACGACAATCAAGAGGGGAGACCCTCGAATTAGGGCAGCCAGGTTACAATGTTCCCTAAAACCACAAGAGAGTAAAACACGAGTGTAACTACTCAGGGTCAGAAAGAACGCAGTCCCAATAGTCAGGTTCCGGGCTGGCTGCCCCCATGCACATGCTAATGACATCCGACTCAGTGTCCGAACTAATGGGGATGGTGGCGGGGCAAGAGTCCTCCAGGTCGATCGTGACGGGGGCATGCTGCAACAGAACTCCTCGTGGCCACACCAACCTAGGTTCCAGGCGCAACTGCCGGGTGACTGTCGCCCCCCAAATCTCGTGGCGAAACCTGTCCTCTTCCTGCTCCGTCGGAGGGCGGAACCCATAGGAGGACAGCC